ATGATGCATGGAGTGGAATCGATTCACTACCCCAGAGTGAAAATGAATCACAAACCCAGATAAATGTAAGTGGGAATGACCATAGAGTTCCACTGGAGGACCTGGAGACTCCTAGAAAGGTGTTCATTTAGGTAAAAAGAATAGTATTTTTATTTATGGTTTTTCCACATTCATGGGGGTCCTTCACCCCTAACCCCAGTGAAAGTGGAGGGACCACTGTATTAATATCTGACCTCTTCTCCAATCAGCTCAAGACAATTTACATGGCTCTCCTTTCCCCCCACTTTGATCCTCATAACAATCCTCTTATGTAAGTCAAACTGAGAAACAGTGACTGACTTAAGATCATCCAGGAAGTTTCATGGATTAGTGTGAATAAGGACCTGAATCTCTTAAGTGTGTGGTCATCACTCTAATTACTACACTCCACTGGTTCTTTATGTACACAGTTGTTGCTGTTGTGTGCCTTCAAGATGTTTCTGACCTAAGGCACATGGGGTTTTCTTGGCAAGATTTGTTGAGATAAGGTTTGTCATTACTTTCCCCTGAGGCTGAGAGCATGCGACTTGTCACCCAGTGGGTTTCACAGCCAAGCTGGGAATTGAACCCTGGTCTCCTGAGTTGTATAGTCCAACACAAACCACTACGCCATGCTGGCTCTATCAATACGGTTACTCCCATGGGATTGCACTGGGGCTCCTATGTACACTTTCCTGGGAACGAATCCCATTAAACTTAGTAGAGTTCAATTCTGAGTAGGCATGTATAGGATTAGTGTGTGGAAAGGAAAATGATACACAGAAGTAGAGATACTTTTCAATTCAAACTGCACCACTATGCCCCCATAGCACTATTCTTATGCCCATATAAATGCACTGTATTTTATTCTAAAATGAAATGTCTGGGAGGAAAAGAATGTAACAGCACAAATATGTCCACATTGAACTTAGTAGCAGTTTGAGAAAACTGTTTCTTTGGTGATCCTGATGGTAAAACTTTTTCTAGAAAAAGAAAATAAATAACAGAGCTAATTGAAACAAAATAAAACTTCCTAGGGAACACAAAAGTTCTAAAATCAGCATTTCACAAAGGAATCAGGCATGATCCAGAGGACAAACTACAAGGGGGTATTGTAAAGTAATAATTATCACCTGGAAGTTATTCTGAAGATGAAAATTTGTCAGTGTCATCATCACCAAGTTACTTTTTCTTTTCCCAAAAA